CACCCCACCCCTCGCCTTCACCACACCATGGTCAGTGCTCATGGGTTATGCATGTATGCATGTAAGCTCTTGGGTTAATCTCTTCCCACCCACCACCGACCCGCACCTTTAAACCTAGGCACTTAGGCTCCAGCACCCATGCTCTCAGTCCCGGAGCGATACTGCAAATGTGCTCCTGGGGTTTTAGCTGTTTTTGTTTGTTTGTTTTGGCTGTTATTTTTCCAACAAGACTGCAAGCTCTAGGAAGACAGGGAGCACTTTTCATACCCCACTCCGCAATCAGCATCGAGAACCAGCCACGACAGGGCTGTCAGTGAGTCGCTGAGTCTGGTGCAACCCATGGAGGGACCTGACTGCTGGGAGCATCTTGCAGCTCCACTGCCCTGACACACACTCCTGGTCCTCCCACCCTCAACCCCAAAGACCCCTGGCCAGCCTGTGTGTGTCCATTTGGGGAATATGTGAAGGCAGACTGGGACATGCTGAAAATGGTCCAACACAAAGACCGGATTCCTTTACTCGCCACTTCCAATACACTAGAGAGCAACTGGAAGCAACTGGGCTGCCACATCCTGCTCCATCTCTCTGCCTCATGTCCACGAGAGCTCACCATCCCGTCCTGCAGGGTACAGAACACACCTTTGGCCTGATGTTCAAGCCTCTCACAGGCTATAGAACAGTGTATAGAACACACCTTTTGGCAGACCTGTTCCCCTCTCTACCTGGCGTTCCTGCTGCTCAGTCATTTATTCTTTGGATAACTATGCACGGAATACCCTCCATACTGGTACACCAGGCTCTCTGTTGGGGTCCAGAAATACAGGGTGAACTAGACATGCACAGTCTTTGTCCTCATGCCACTTCTTGTGTGAAACCTTTGCAGATACCCCTCATTTTAAGTATATCTGGCTGGCAGTAAGTTCTGTCAGAGTATACAGATGTAAAAAATCACCAACAATCCTAATCAAAATGCTGGAATGGCCAGTTGGGGAACAAAAAATGCCAGATTAAAGAAAGCAAGATTATCCTCATAGGACACTTTGAAATATGCAGCAAGGTGAAGGTTGCTTCTGTTTTTGTTTTAAATCCATGAAATCAATGATTCCTAGGAACAACAAAATCTGAGAAAACAGAGAACCCTGAACCACTCTAACTTTTAAACTGATTGTGTCATCCTCTCCCTGGCTATATAGTTGCTCTTTATCTCAAAAATCAATGGCCTGCCTGTCTATCTCTGATATATGTGCTCAAGTTATTAAGTAGCTAGTAACACAGGTTAACATATGATGTGTGCCTTAAAGTAGTGACAGATATTCCAGAAAATTGCCAGGAGGAGGTGCTGTTAAGTACCTGGGCTGACACCTCAGGGGAAAAAAACCAGAATCCTCAGAGATTACACTGTTAACACCTATTTAAATTCTACCCAGGCCAACTGATAGACCTTATCTGTCTTATACCACTGAAAAATAAGGGGTTACACTTCAGTGAAATGTTCAAATAACTAACGCTTACTTTTCAATGCCAAAACATGAAAACATTAGCCATTTTAAAAGCGCATGCGGGGGGTAACGGGCACTGGCTGTCCAGAGTCGTACTGAAGTGTGCTCTTACACTGAATACTTCCTCTCCTCCGAGCCTGCTCCGAGCAACTTCCTCTCTGCAACCCTAGCCCCGTCCCCTTTTTAACCAGCTGACTACCAAGGAAGAACTGAAAGGAAAAGCAGATAACTAAGGTTACGCAACCACCAGCTGAACTTAAGACACAATTCTACGTCCACGTGCTCTGGCCTCCCTTCCCAGGAGGTAAGAGGCAGCGAAAGGAGCTCTAACATACATATGACAGGGGAGGCCCCACCACCTCAGCGTCCCATCATCTCATTTAAGCAACCCAGCACACCGTAATACTATTTCTATTTTAAAGATAAGATAAATGGGTGCTGACAAAAATGTTCGCTCCTCCAAGATCTCACAGCTGGCAGGTGGCAAGGGTGCGTGGGGTCCCAGCCTTCTTACCCCAAGCTGCATTGTCCTCCGTAACACCGATGCTGTGAAGGTCTTGCCCGAGAACCTGATGTAGGCAGGAGAGCGTAGAGTTCTGCCCGCCACAGGTTCCCAGAAGAAGGGTTTCTTTACTTTTAGAGAAATAAATCTTTTCACCATTTTATAGATCCTATATTTTACCATCCTATATTTAGAATTTAAATATGCCCTGGCCGGTTGCTCAGTTGGTTAGAGCATCCTTCCAATACACCAAGATTGCAGGTTTGATCCTCGGTTAAGGCACATACAAGAATCAACCAATGGCCGAGACCGGTTTGGCTCAATGGATAGAGCGTCGGCTTGGGGACTGAAGGGTCCCGGGTTCGATTCCGGTCAAGGGCATGTACCTTGGTTGCGGGCATATCCCCAGTAGGGGGTGTGCAAGAGGCAGCTGATCGATGACTCTCTCTCATCGATGTTTCTAACTCTCTATCTCTCTCCCTTCTTCTCTGTACAAAATCAATAAAATATATTAAAAAAAAAAAAAAAGAATCAACCAATGAATGCATAAGTAAGTGGAACAACCTATCTCCCCTTTCTTCTCTCTTTAAAATCAATCCATTTAAAAAAAAGAACTTAAAACTTATTGGTGAGTGCAAATGATTAATACAATGAAGACAAGTATCTCATACCAACCACACAAATGCCCCTTTAACCATGGTCCTATGAGCAACCTGGGATCTTCACTGGTTCACATCAACAGACCCAGAGAATGAAATTAATTGCTAGGGCTATACAAAAGGGTAGACCGCTCACATAATAATCTAACAAAATTATTACTTCAATCCTATTTTAACATTAAACAATTGAGCAAACTCACTAAAATAAGCATGGAAATGTTAAGAAACTAAAGTTTTCCCAAGAAACTAGGTAACAATTATTAAAGAAAAGCCACAACTGCAAATATATGCTAATTCACTGTACACAGCTTTATCCACACTCCTGCTTAAACTATAGCAATTACCAGATAAACTGTTTAATCCTATGCACACGGCATGTGTTCGGTGAATAAACTTGTCACTGAGTCTGTAAAGTGTCAAGTAACTACAAACATAATGAGATAGAAGGGAAACTCCAGTGCCCATTTCCACTCAGCTGAGGATGCACTTGTGAGTTCTTTGACCTCCACTTCTATGCATAGAAAAAGAGCTTATTTTGAGAAACATAAAACACACCTAAAGTTTCACCGAATGCAATACTTTAACTTTTTATATTTTGATTATTCCCTTCAAAAGTGAAGTGGCACCTAGCTGGGTTGTCCCGTGGTTAGAGCACCAGCCCACAGACTGAAGGGTGGCATGCTTCGTTCCGGTCAAGGGCACATACTTCGGTTGCAGGCTCAGTCCTTGGCCCCAATGTCAGTGTCAGGGCAACCAATGTAAGTGTCTCTCAAATCGATGTTTCTCTATCTCTGTCTCTCCTCCTCTCTTTCATTATCTCTAAAAAATCAATGGGGGAAAAAATGTCCTCAGGTGAGGATTAATAACAAAAACAAAAAGTTACCATTTTAATTATTTCCAAGACCAACTATGAGGTGTGCCCTATAACTACAAATAACCTTTCCTAAAGAGTGCCCTCACCCTGGACCCATGGCTTCCTTCCTGAAGCTATTTAGTAACCACACAACCTACTTATCTGAGAAATTTATTAATTGCTCCCTCCTCATTTTGAAATATAGCTATAAGACCTAATTCTCACTTGTACTTCCTTGGATTTGTACACAAAGAGCTGTATCTTTCTAGAATAAACAAACAGATATTTAAAAATTCTATTCTTTTACTATTAGTCTATCCTAAGAAATGCCTCATCAGACAGAGTAAGGAAAGGAGATAAAACTTCATCATCCATGGCTTCTAAGCCTGGGACTCATTCGCAAGAGAAGCCCTTAGGTCCTTAGGAAACCCAGGGTACACACAGTTCTCCAAAACTGAAGGAACTCCTCCCTCAGAACATTCCCAAAGTGTCCACAGGCTCATGGGAAGAACAAATTCCCTTGTCCCTGTTGCCCCAACACTGTTCTTAAAGATGGAAACAGTGAGAACAGCGCCATGAGAGGAGGAAGACTTTTCTTACACCCAGTTTATGAACCCACAGCTGAGACCTGAATTTCCTTCCTTCCCCCTTCATGTTAGTAGTTGAGATCATTGACTCCTTCATGAAACAGCACAAACTGGTATAACTTTGTTACAATGGTATTCTCCACAAAGTTGGGTGGCTTGGACGGATAGATTCCTTTGTCTTTCTGGGAAGAGGCCATGGGATTTCATATTGTAATGACATTAAAAAAAAAAAAAGGCAATAAATACCCAGAAACAAAAGTCTGACAAGGCCTGCCGGGGGAGGGGATAGGAACAAAAAAACAAACAAACAAACAAAAAAAGCTTTTCCACAGCTGAGGCCCAAGGATGCACAATGGGGCTGAGCCAGTGTCTGGCCCACACCTGAGACAGCTCTGAGCTGTCTCCAGGGAGGAGCCTGGAGGTGGCAAGCTCCCCACCCAGACTGAGAAGGTGAGGCATCAGGGAAAGATTTGCATGTGCAGGTGAGTTCACAAAGCCTGCCTGCCACCATATCGTCCCCTCGCCCACAAAACGGCCTACAACTCCCACCCACACGCACCCATGATCCAGAAGTCCTGAAGACAGCCTCATCTGAGCTCCCTGATGAGGCTCTGCGGGCTCGGGGTGTCCGCCCTGAGCCGTCCTGAGAGCTGCCGGGAGCACCACCCACCGCTCCCCAAACCAGGTGCTGGAATCACAGCAGATTCCGGTAGGTTCTAAGGCCTGAGTTCCTCCATGGCGTGTCCGGGACGAGAGAGGGCACCGAGCCACAGAGCAGAGGCACAGCCCCTGCCTGGGCGCGGGCCTCCTCTCCAGCCTCTCCCCAGCCCGGGCAGTGGATGGCCCTCCCTGCTGCCTCCGCTGTAGCTCAGGAAGGGGACACGGCCTTTTTTTTTTTTCTAAGTCCCTCTTACACATGATTCTAGAACTCCAGAGAAGCAAGTTTCTGACAGAATGCCTGAATGGGGGACACAGCACACAGGGGCTCGGCCCACAGACATCACGCAAAATGTGTCACTTCCCCTCATCTGCTGCTGGTGCTGCTGTCCGCCCTGCTCGAGGGAGCGGGTAAGGCCCACGGGTCCCCGTGAGCTCTGCGGACACTGGGCGTGTAGGACTATCACAGCAACAGGACAGGCAGTCCATAAGAATGCTGCTGTTGCCATGTGCACTGGCTCCTTCCGGTGAGGAGCGGAAGGCCCCTCAATGTCTGTGCTGTGGGGAGAAGGAAGGCCAGGGAAAATACTGGGAAGGGAGAGGATGGGGAGCAGGGGTGTTGAAAAACAGTCCTGGCTGCGTGGCTCAGTCGGGTTGTAGCACTGTCTCATGCACTAAAGGTTGCATGTTCGATTCCCAGTCAGGCACATACCTAGGTTGCAAGTTTGATCCCCAGTTGGGGTGTGTTTGAGAACTGATAGATGTTTCTTTCTCTCTCTCTCTCCTCTTTTCTCTTCTCTTTACAAATCAATGAAAGCTATCTCCTTGGGTAAGGATTTTTTTTTTTAAAGATGCTGAAAAACAAAGATACCCCCAAAAATGAGTGGGGGGAAGAACATCTCAACTCAACCATATCCTCTAATTCTCCACAAGCAAAATCTTTGCTCTGATTTGATCTCAAGTGGAAATTACATGGACAAGATCCAGTTTCCTTCTCTGAGCTGATTCAAGTGAACTCTCATGCACAAAAGCAAATCTCAAGACAGAAAGCTCCCGCTCTCCCTAGCTCTCCTGTTCCCCATAACCGTTTCTCAGTTCCACATGCCTCTGCCGCTTTCCTCCAACTCTCCAGACAGCTTACCCCTCAGTGGTATTAGGACCACAACCATCCCTACCACCACAGAAGCATGACTGCAGGTAGAGACCTGAGGCGAGTTCAGGGGAGCTCCATCCAGCACACCCTACCAGCAGGCACTGCCTCCCTGGCAAGCACACTCGTGGCCTGACGTAGGGGAGATAAAGCCTCAATGTTCTCCCCCACAAGTTACAAAATGGCTTTATCCTCTCAGGCTTAAGGTAAAGTTTACCAGCCTTGGCACTACTGGCATGTGAGCCGGGTAACTCTCTGTGGGGACTGTCCTGTGCAACAGAGCAGACTCAGAAGCACCTCTGGCCTCCACCCACCGGACTGCAGTAGCCACTCCCCAGTAGTGACCTGTGTGCATGCAGCCCCATCCATGTTGAGAACCACTGGCTTAAGATATCACTTCTGCATACTCTCTTTATAAATGTCAACATTTTTACAGGGAGAAAACAGACATGGAGTGCTACAAGCTACTTAACTCTTTTGTGTGAATTAATCTTTGCTCCGAGAGGTATACACCCAGATAAGGATATGATTACCCAGCAAGGGCTCAAGCTTGGTGGCAGGGCTGACGGCTGAGGTGGTGGGCCGGAGGCAGGGGGATGGAGAATGCTGCCAGTAGGAAACACGCTTCAAGAAGAAACAGCTGACACACCATTCACAGCACAGGGCTTGAAGATGCCTTTTCCCCTATTTATAAAGGAACAGAACCAACTTCAAGTCTGTCTTATCCAACAAACACAGACCTGACCCTGTAAAAAACCTACAGAGCTGAAACCGGTTTGGCTCAGTGGATAGAGCGTTGGTCTGCGGACTGAAAGATTCCGGTCAAGGGCATGTACATTGGTTGCGGGCACATCCCCGGTGGGGGATGTGCAGGAGGCAGCTGGTCGATGTTTCTCTCATCATCGATGTTTCTAGCTCTCTATCCCTCTCCCTTCCTCTCTGTAAAAATCAATAAAAATATATATATTAAAAAAAAAAAAAACCTACAGAACCTACAGACTGAACTTCACCAAACACCCACGACCAAAGGTCAAACTGGACTTGGCCAATAAAATGAGCCCCAAATCTCAGCATTGTTGACTAAAGTGTGTCTCTAGAGGCATTTGACAAGCACCTCGGAGCCCCTCATTGAAACACTGCCGTAGGTGAGACACAAACCTATGGTGTGGAGTGATTCTGTTGGTGGCCTCACAGACACTTGGATCCACACTGAGAAAAGCAACCAATAACTATCATTCTAGACCAGTGGTTGGCAAACTCATTAGTCAACAGAACCAAATATCAACAGTACAACCATTGAATTTCTTTTGAGAGCCAAATTTTTAAAACTTAAAACTTCTTCTAACGCCACTTCTTCAAAACAGACTCACCCAGGCCGTGGTATTTTGTGGAAGAGTCACACTCAAGGGGCCAAAGAGCCGCATGTGGCTCTCGAGCCGCAGTTTGCAGACCACTGTTCTAGGAGGTCTAGATGATACACAAAAGAATAAAGCGTGTTTCCTGCCCTCAAGGCTGCTGACAATCCATCAAGCTGGGAAAAGAAAAGGCTAATTGCACATTCAACATCCTTACCACCTAATAGCAGCAGCTAAGATTTACTGGACGCCTCTAATGTGCCAAGCTCCATGCAAAGCACTTTGTAACTATCACCTCTTTAATCCTTTCAACAGCCCTATAATATAAGGAGTATTACCATCCCCAATCTACAGCTGGAAACAAAAACAAAACTGAGGTTCAAAGAGACCAGGTGACTTGCTCAAAGTCGTACAGCAGATAATGGGACTTGGATGCACATCCAGACTCATTTCCAGCCACGGTGCCATGCTGTGCAGCAGTGTGAAAGGGCTGGAGCCCAGGGAGTTGGGAGACCCACTGGGATTCTCTACAGAAAGCCAAAGACAGGCTGGGGGAGGGGAAGAAAAAGTTCTTTAAAAAGCAAAAAGTTCTTTAAAAATTAGCTCTATGTCACCCAGCAGCCTAACCAGCTATTCGAAATACTACTGCCCACGAGGAAATCCAAGTCTTTTCTTTAAAGGATTGAAGCTGCAGTGAGCGGGGTACTGCAGACAGGCACAGAGGAAGACCAATACTCCGTTTCCTTCCAAGGGTAAGTATCACTCTTTCTACTGGGTTTAAAACTTTCGTTTGATTTCTACCACCATATCCATCTCCGGGTCAGCGAATATTCTTCATCTCACCATGACTCCTCTCAAAGTCCACCGATTCTAGGCGCCCACTTCCCAGGACGACGGCCACACACACCTTCCCCTGCGTGGCCTTTTAAGAACACATAAATGGCTTTTACACGTTACAAGGTCAGGAGGATGTGAACACCTAGCTTGGGCCTACGTTTGGATGTCACTTGTCCAAAGTGTTTATTCAAATGACCTTTCTACTCCTTCCAAAGTGGGTTTGTACTGGAGAGAAATTGGCCACGCTGGTGAGAGATTTATTCCAACACGTATTCACTATGATAGTGGGGTCTATCGTGCACCACAGATATATTTAATTCTTTCTTCTGGCTGTTACCTTGTTGGTTGTATTTTGAAGGTGACTCCTTTAAATGACCAAAGAAAGCCCTGGGTTGGCTTGATGGCACTGGATGCCTTTGTGACTCACACAAGCAAGTCAGCAGGCAGCTGGCTCACCCACATGAGCGGGGGGCTCCCGGTGTCCCCCCAACCACTGGCCATCATGGGCAACTCCCTGCTTTTCAGGCAGAGCAAGGACACACAAGTCTGGTTTCCAAAGTGCCTCATGGTGATTACACTGGTTTGGTGATTCACTAAGCAGTACAGGATGTGCCCAATTACACATTCTATTTATTTTTTTCCGATCTTATTTCATAAACTCCAATTTCACAAGAACGTAGATTCTCCATCCAACAAAATTATCCAACTTTTGAACAATTGAAATGATAATTGCCCACAAAACTCTTTTTAGAAATGAGAGTATACATAAGACATGATCTGAAGACATAATAATTTTTAAATGTTTTGGTCATGTCCTTCATTCAAACATTTTAAAAGTGCCCACATTTTGGATATTCTGAGAGGCCAAGGGCACAAAAAGAGAATCATTTTCCGAGTGTCAGTGATAAAACATGAAGCAACAAAGATACCAAACCGGCCCTTTATCAAACAAAACAGCTTTTATCAAGTAAAGCATTAACAATATTACTTTTCTTCTCCTCTACTCCCACCCCAGATCTAAGACTACAACTTGAAATCTTTAGGAAGAAGGTGCCAACAAAAGCAGCTGCTGAAAAATAAAATTCTTACTATAAACAAATGATTAGTTCTTTCCAAATTAACAACTTGGTGTTCTCTTCCTCAGACTCAGAAACATGGCTTCTTCATTCAAATGGTCCCAATTCCACCAGGCATGACGCCTTCCGTCTGCAAAGGACTATGGGAGAAATAGAGTGGCCTGTCTGCGAAGGGCTGGGAACAATCATTTTTAGGGGGAATGTCTATATTCCCCATGGAACAAACCGAGGCCACTTACCACCACATATTTTCCCCCTAAAGAAACCGCCTCCCTCCTCTGCGAGGAAAATGACTGCTCAGTGGGTTAAGGAAAAATGTTTCACACATAAAAACGAACCAAAAGGCGGCACAAAACCATGTGAGACCTCTAAGCCAGGAACCAGTCGATGATACTGGGTACTCCTGGGCTCCTGAATGCAAACATGGTCTGATGTTCTGACCCCCCCCCCCTCACCTCCCCCAAATAGAATGAAAGGATTTAACTCGTGTCAGAGCCTTACAGGGGACACTGTTAGAACTGGTTTAGGAAACGAAGGAGGCTCTGAGGCAAGGAAGGCTACGGATCTGTTCTGCTCTAAGAAGGGCCTGTGGAAACTCCCGATGACTCCTAGCAAACCTGCTCCTGTAATTTAACCCGTGAGGGACCGGGCAGGTTTAGGAAATGAGGCTCCACGAAGGTGGCGACATGTCTTAGTTGGCAGGCATGAAAGACTCATTTGTCAGGCTTCGCAACCAAGCTTAAGTGAGATTTAGGAGTAAGACACGCCAAATTAAAATTCTTAAGGACCATTAATCACAGCCCCATGACTTCATGTAGAGTAATACAACATATGCTTATGTAGGTCTGGTCTTTATTCTTAATCAGAGGTATTAGCCACAGCCTATGGGAGGAACTGTTTCAAAAGTGGGACAAGCATGGTTCAGCCCATTCATTATTTTAAATAATTAAATCATACAGATATGGCTATGAAATTTTTGTTATTCTTGGATACAAATAAACAGATGGCCAGTAAGGAAATGAGATCAACCTTGCAGCTGAGACTATACTATATTCCACTTCCAGTTTCTGAATGTCAACGCTTAGGAGACACATCCCAAGAATCCAACTGGTAACCAGAACATGAAAAATTATTTTTATTCCACTGGTTTGGCCTACTCCAACTGCTAGGAAGTAGGAATAAGGAGAAGTAATGCATAGCAGAGCACCACGTATGCAATTTGCATTTAATAAATATTATTTGGATGACTAAAGGGAGCAGTTACTCAAACACTGGCCAGCATATTGAGAATCCAGGGCCTCTATTCTTCAAATCACAAGCACTCTCGGTTGGAAAGCAAAGGTACTATGTCTGCGTTATAGGCAGGCTTTCTGCCTTGGCCCCACCGTTACACCAACTCCTCCCTCACCACCACCCTTCCCGCAGGTTCTGCTTTAAACAGTTAATATAGTCAGAGATTTTGGCACTGACATCACATTTATCATGGATTCCTGCTCTAATGGAAAACTGGAGAGAATGGATAAAGCAACTACTGGTTTTCAAACACTGGACAATAAGGCAGCACAAGACCTAATTCCTGAGAAGCATGAAGCAAATGAGGCAATCCCTGTAATTCCCTGAGCTCACTGCCAAGAGGCGGTTTCCAGCCCACAGCACGGAGAAGGGGGAACGCAAGAGCATGGAAGTCCACGGACTTGGAGAGACAGAGGTCAGTATTCAGGGAGGCCACAACTGCTGGTACTGGCAGGGCAGCACGCCTGGGAGGAGAGGAGCCCCGAGCGGCCCTAGTGTCTTAGGCTGAGTTCCGATCTGTGTGAGAGGAGACTACGTCAATTCAGGGAGAGAAGCTCCAGAAAACGGTTTATTTAAGATGCCCCAGAGTTCACACAGGGCTGGTAATAGTTCAGGCTTCCAGAGGCAAACATGGAAGTAATTCGTAATACACATGGTATCCGATTAAAATCCTCAGAAAAGTATCAGCTTAGTATTATAGCCAAGTCATCCGTAAACTAAAGGCTGCTTTGGACCCCTACCCTAACAAAGCCTAAAAGCTAGCTTCCAAATGACCCAACTGATTCCCAGTATCCTAACTGCATGCCAGAACCAAGTCCAAAACTGTTTGAAGAAATACAACAAAATCTAGCATCTAACAATGTGTATCTGGTACCCAAAAATTATCAGGAATGCAAAGTAAGAAAAATAACCCATAACCAAGAGAGAGAAAAACCAATCCACAGAAACAGATGCAGAAATGACAAATGATTAGCAAACAAGGGCATTAAACAAGTTAGTAAACTGGTGTAGCTTCTTTGGAAAACAGTTCCTCAAATGGTTAAACTGAAGTTACACTATGATCCAGCAATTCCTCCTAGGTATAGTAAATCCTCCTTTAATGCTGTCAAAAGGTTCTGTGACTTTAAGCTAAACAACATATAGTGAAACCAAATTTACCACAGGCTAATTGATATAAATAAGAGGTAAGTTCTTATCACATCTCATCAACATGATAACTAAGTGACATTATTCAGAGACTTAGGTTAGAAAATATAAGGTACTATGTCTTTGATATATAGGCAAAATCCCCAAAAAGAAACGAAAATATATGTCTACACAAAAACCTGTACACTAATGTTCCTACCAGTCGTACTACTAATAGCCAAAAAGTAAAAGCTGCCCAAATGTCCATTAACTTATGAATGATTAAAATGTGGTATATCCACGTAATGGAATATTATTCAGCAATAAAAAGGAACGAAGCACTGATACATCCTACAACCTGGATGAACCTTGGTAACATGATGCTAAGTAAAAGAAAATAGTCATAAAAGACCCCATATTATATAATTTCATTTATATAAATGTCCTAAATATTGTCAAATCTTTAGAGACAGAGAAATTAGTGGTTGCCTGGCTGGAGATGAGACACAATAGGGAGTGACTGCTGATGGGTACAAAGTTTCTCTGTGTGGTGATGAAAATGTTCTAAAAGGATACTGATGCTGTACTATGTGATGGCATTATAGGAAGTGTCCTAAATAGCCAAATCTTTAGAGACAAGAGAGATTAGTGGTTACCTGAGCTGGGATGAGACAGAATGGGGAGTGACAGCTGATGGGTACAAAGTTTCTCCGTGGGGTGATGAAAATGTCCCAAAATTACACTGTGGCGATAGCGGCACAATCCTATTAATGTACTAAAAACCACTGACTTACACACTTTAAATGGGTAAACACATACCAATGTGGATTATGTCTCAATAACACTGTTAAAATGTATTATAAATGTACTTCATGTAGTAAGAAGGTAGAGCAAAAGGAGGCAGAAAAATAGATACAATGCAATTCCAGTAACATTTATATCTGAAATAAATAGTACACTGGATGAGATTAATAGCAGATTAGACATTGTAGAAGATCCGTCAACTTTAAGATACAATAAAAATTATCAAAAATAAAGCACAGAGAGAGACTGAAAAACAAATTAACAGATTATGGAGGCAATATTAGGTTGTCTAATGTGTAACTAGAATTTAAAAGAGAGAGGGAGAGCACAGAAA